AACGGTAACACTCACATTTAGATAGCTAAATTGATGAACAAAAAGATTAAGCAGGTCAATAAAGCGACTCTAGCGCAAATCTTTGACTTGAAAAACCGATTCTAATCTTATTTTTCAAGTCACTCCACAAACATTTGTCATAATTAAAATTTAAAAGACATTTTATGAAAATTCTACCTACGACATATAAAAAAAATTATCTACCAAAAATATTTAAACAGGCGTGGTCCGACCAACACCAAACATTATAAAAATATCAATTATATAACAAAACTTATACCTTATAGAATACTACTACTATTCTTCTTCCATGCTTTCCTACTTAGCTGTATTATAATCTAAAAACAAAAACAAAAATTCAAATTTTCTCTTTTTCTTTTACTATACTAAAATTTTCTCATCATGATTGTCCCTCGCGCCATTTTCTGTCTCCGTCACATTGGGTCCCACTTGCCAGTCCTGCTGCCACAAAGAAATCATGTCCCACCACCGTTCCTTTTCCACGCGCCACCGCGTGAAAATCCTTATCCGGTCACCGGAGACAAGTAAACTTGGCTCTGTACCACGATATCTCCGATTTTAAACCCGGGAACAACCGTAAACCCGACCCGGATATCTGAATTATTATCGCCGGAGAAGGAAGACTCGTCGCCTGATTTCACACTCTCCATATACACATGAGAGAATCTACAACCTCTTCTGATCTGAAACACCGTGACGTTTTCTCCGAGTGAAAACGCCGAGCAGTGTAAAAGCCAGATCCGTTTAGCCATTTCACAGAACGTCGCGAAAAAACCCGAATCCGGAAACCCGCCCGAGTTAACCAGCTTCCTCTGGTTCAAGTTACCGAACAACGAACACTCCATCTTCGCGTGTACAACGCTCAAGTATTTCTGTAGCGTGAATTTCGCAAACGACGAAGCCGGGTTTCGGGTCAAGTACTGAATCGGGTCAACGGATCTTAGGTTTTTGAAACGGTTAAAGAATTGCTCACGGCTCGGCTGTTTCTCGTCGGAGCAAAAATTCGGAGATTCGAAATTCTCAAGCATTTTCCGGCATACGAACGATTCGAAAGCGAAACAACGGTGGCTCGGCCTTGCGAATACGGCGGAGGACGAGGAGGAGTTTTTAACGGTTATGGATACGGCTGCGGAAGCGGCGGCGTCGAGATCCCAGCTTGCAGATTCCATTTCTCTAACCATCGATTTGACGAAGCTACGTACAGATCTCAAACTAAACCCTAGAATCTGAACAAAGTGATTCAGATTCAAATTCGAAAACTGGATTTCATCGAATCCACTCGCGGTGGTGAGTTTCTTCTCAATCGATTTGTTAAACGAAATCGTTTCTTCCAGATTCGTATTCAACGAATCGATCCTTAATTGCTTCTCCGTAACTTCCGATTCGAGTTTTCTGATTGTGATTTCGTAAGTTCTCATCAAACTCTGTTGCTCTTGGATCTCAGCGAGCATAATCGCAACTTGTGGCGATAGATTCAACTCGTTCCTCAGAAAACTCCGTTTAAGCTCCGATAACGATCTAAGCTCTTCAACAACCGCCGTATCCGCCGCTTGTATAGCGGAGTTATCGTACGGACGTTGCGCCATTTGAAGCTCTGCGTAAGCAGCTTTAATGGAAGTTGTACTAGCGAAGATCTTAGCAATTACCGCTTCTAAAACAGCTCTCCGTCGCTCTTTAACCTTCATCTCTCCACTTCTACTACTCGAAGTAGTACTTTTCAGATCGAAAACGGAATCTCTATCACCGTCGTCATCATCATCGACGGCGAAATTTGGGTTCTGTGATTTTAACATACAGATTCCGATTCCGTTGTTGGAAGAGACTTTCGTTGAGGTCGTTCTCAAGTTGCATACCTTCTGGAATGTTCTTGCTAACTTGCTTTTTCTTCTGATTGATGGATTCTTCTTCAGTGTTTCCATTGAAAACAGAAAGCTTGAAATCGAAATTTTCTTAAGGATTTTGTTCTGAGAGGAATTTTGTTTCTGACAAAGATGAGCAGAGTCGTCTGATACAGAAGAAAAAAAAACAAAATTGTTTGTTTTTTTTTTATTAAAGAAGAAATATAAATAAACTGAGGCAAAGCGTGAAAGCGTGGGAAAGATGATAGAAGGAAAAAGAGAAGTCGATCGTATTTTGTTCTCTTTTTTTCTTTTGTGTATTTTAATAATTCTTTGTTTACTAGTACTATAATGTTTTGATATACTACATTTCTGTATAATATGGTTGAATAATGAATGGTTTAGTCATTTAACTGAATAAGTTTCTTTCACAAGGATATTAAATTGTGGTCGGGTCGAGTTTGTCGAGAAACACTACTGTGGTTAATTATAAGCACTTATATGTAATTATGTCTTGATATAGAATTTTTTAACTACTGAGACTATAAAGGTGATCATTTGTTTTTATTCTATATATATGTTTAGATAAGAGTGCTTTTATGTTAGTGAACATTTCTCTTACATTTTTATAAATATAAAGAAAACAAATGTAACAAACCTGGACTCTTGATAAAGAGATTGGATATAAAATGCTCAAGTTCAAACAATAAGTCAATTAGATATAGATGAGCTTTGTTGAAGATTCACCATTTATCATCCATATCATTGAAAAAATTCTTCGAATGTGGAATTATCTAATCATCCATATATGTTTTAAATAGCAAAAATACCCATATGTTTTTGGACATCGAATATTAGTTTAAGTTTCAGTCTAGAATACCTAAACAGAATATTGAAATTTTTTCTTCTTCTTATAGCAGCTATCAAGATTTCAATGTGTATGTGTTTGTATTATTGTATACTCCACAGACTTTTT